ATATTATATTTTGATAAAGTTGCAGATTTTGACTGTTTTATGGATAAATTAATTTTTTACTGAAAATTAATTTTTTTTTTTTTGTTTGATACCCCCAAATCTTTTAAAAAAAAACTTAGATAAATCCTACTGATCTTTTAAAGGAAGAATATACTTACATTCCTCCCCCTATTGACCCCAAAACAAAGACTTCCCCAAAAAAACCTTACCCCTTTTTATCGACGACCTACGCTGAGATTTTCCCGTCTTTATTGGGGATTATAGTTCCCAAGGGGCCGTTTTGTATTTTTTCTTCATTTTTATTTACCCAAAGGGGGTAAAAAAAAATTCTTTCTTACATTTTTTTCCCTCTATATATTCTATCCCATATATATATATATATATATTATATCTTTGAAAATATATATCTACTGAAAACAGCCCTAGTGATAAGTTGGGTTTAAACTTTTACTTACGATTTTTTTTGGTGGCGAAAAAATTTTTGCGTAAAACCCCCGAACATTGGGTTTTTCTTTTTTTTATTTTTAAATTTTTTAAAAAGATATAAAAGATATTTTTTTTATTTGTTTTAAAATTTACTTGTTGTGTTTTACATATTCTCTCACAAAAATATTTTCTTACTTATAAAAAAAAGTGTATTCTTTGTTTAAAAAGCAAAAATTACCACAAAACAAAAAAGATTTTCAGTAATAATTAGAATTAGTCCCCGCGCAAAATTTCTTTAAAATTTTTTTAAAAAAACAAAATGAAGTTTGTGCGAGTGAGTGTGAAACCCTAGACAAGATGCAAAAAGCTGGGAAAAATGGGTTGTTTCTACCGGTATTTAAAATCTACCACCATGTAACAGTGTTGACAGGCCTTTGAATTAAAAAAAAAAAAAAATGGATATGAAAAAGAAAAATGTTTTTCGAAAAAGTCTAAAATAAATGAAACTTTTTTATAACGGGATCAAATTTTTGCAAGTATGATATAACTGGCATGTACGTGTAAAGGATTCCCAAAAACCCTCCGGGTTTCTATATTTTTTATGATAGAAACCCGAGGGATTACACCCAAAAAATTGGGAAGAACGAAATAAGGGGGACCATACTAAAAAAAGATTTCTGAGTCAAGTCGACGGGGACGCCCCCAAAACATAGCATTTAAATACCGAAGGCTTTTGAACACCAAAATGCCCCAAATGTAAATCTAAAACTACAATAGAAGCTGCAGGGCTTTTTAATTAAAATTTAAAAGAGCATTTTATTTTCAAGTGCAAAACATAATTTTTTATATGAATTTGTTAATTCTCTTTAATTAACAGAAAATAAATATAAACAATAAAATACTTAGGTAAGAAATTTGAAAACACTATGGTTAGTATGAAAAAAAAGAGCAAATTTTGATGATTTTGCGTCTTTTTTTGCAATTTAAAACAGAAAATTATCAGAATTTTTTATTATTATTAAGAATTTTACTTTAATAGGACTCAAATATCTAAAAAATTGATCTTATTCCCCCCAAAAAGGGTATAAATGAAACAATTAAAAAAAAATTGTAAAAAAATGACAAAAAGGAAAAAATGAAAGACTTTTAAACTTTTTTTCATTGACATACTATTTTAAAAAAATCTTTAAAAAAATAAAAAAAAGAAAAAAATTTATTTTAATATAGTTTTCATAATGTTAATATATAACAGAATATCAAACTTTTTAAAATTACAATTTATAAGAAAACCTTATAAAAACAAAAATAAAAAAAATTAATGGCGTCTTTTGGTAAATAATAAGTACAATAAATATAAAAAGAACTACCAAAGGTACTCTTTTCAATCACTTCACCCCTTTACCTTTGGGTATCGGGGGTGCACCTTCAATTTGCACTATACAGACAAATTATCTTTTGTATCGCAATGTACTTTTTGGTACAGGCAAAGAAATTATATGGTCTCGTGAACCGCATTTTTCAGCTTGACATAAAAAGGCCCTTTTCAAGGCACAAGCGGGGCTCTGTAACACGCAAAACCCCCAAGATCCTATAACCATATTAAACAATGAACTATTAAAAATTTCTAGTTATCATATTACAGGTATTTTTATTAATGAACTAGTCTGGACAAGAAGTATAGATGCAAAAATGTGTCCCAATCCGCGCTACAACTACGCGGCGTTGCGAGTTCGGGGGGATGTTCAATCAAATACATTAGCAAAACATATAAGCTAACTACTTTTTAAAATAGGGCGAATTTTGACTAGCACTTACAGAAAAGATGGTTAAGGATTGAAACTGGCCGATTTTTTTTTAAACCCAATTTCAAATTTCCCATGTATTAATTTAACTCTTGAATTGTAAAATATTCAATTTATTAAAAAATCCATTTTGCCTTACGTAAATCGTGTGGAAATTTGAAAAAAAAATTTCAGTATCCCCAATTAAAACCCACAAAAAACAGCCGTTTAGTAATTTATTTTATTTTAATGTTTTAATTTGCAATATTCTCCGATAGATACATAATTATGTAAACGGTAATCCCAAACATTTATCATAAATTGAAAAAAATTATGCCCGGCCCAGGAGATTTTGAATTTTCAATGGAGAGAGGGAGACGGAAGATGGCGGCTTTTACTGATGGCCTGTGGAATACCAAAGGTTTCGCTAGTTCCTTAAATGAGATGGACATTAATTATAAGTCTAGAACAACATAGTACGTTCCACTAACAATTATAAAAGCGAACATATAATTTAGTTGAGAAAATTGAGTGTTTTCAAAAACTTAAATACTCTAAATCAAGGGTGATCTTAAGTATTCACCTGCGTATGCGCTTATGTGATTTATGGTTTATAACGTCTTTTATAAAGTCTGGCGTGTTTTATTATGTGAAAACGTGTTTGAACTTGTTTAAATACAAAAAAGAGATTGTAATGCATTTAAATTAATAATCAATGTTAAATCTTAAACAGTAAGCATACTTAATTGAAAAGACCTCAACCAGCGTCTACTGTAATAGTTTATCAACTAATCAACCCCTTTAACACCAACGTCTCAAATTATGAGACAATATATTTCAATGTAAATATTTATTGAACAAGTTAGTGTAAATTAAGCTTGTTAATTGCCACATACAAATATCAGGCGTTTGCGTTGAAAGGGTTAGAACCTCATACAACACTAATTAAAACCTATGACGAATTTCATAGAATATGAGTACGTACACATCGTTGTCTAAAGAAAATCCATATAATTTATGTACAAAAATAATGATCAACTTTTGGATTATGTCAATCATTAAATATAGATAGATGTTACGCAGGTAATCGTGAATATGGAGGTAATAGAATAATAAATCCCTACACTATTAATGCACCATTAGTCATTTGCTATAAAATAAAAATAAAACCATCTATTTATAATGAATGAAATAGTTATAAAACAACATCATAACATACATTAAAATGATTCAGTCAAACTAACTTCATTACTTACCGCGGGACCGATACACTCCCTTTAGTTAATTAATTACAATCGAACGACATACAATAAGATCAATAAATAATTATATTTTGCACAACATTCAGATTTCCTAACATCGGTCCACGTTATAAATTAAATTAATTAATTTAATACATAATTTAATAAAAATCGTAAAATAAAGTATAAAAAATTGTGATGCAGATGACAACCACAGCCCAAATGGTCACACTCCTTGAGAATGTAATAACTATTGGTGTCTATAATTATAAAAATGTTAAATATATTTATTTAGTCTAACTAACACTACTAAACATATTATTTGGTGGTTACATCTTGTACATAAATTTTAATGAGATTAAGCTTGCGTCAAGGTCAAACAACTTGATGAAATAAATACTTCAAGCCTCCCTTGCACAGACCCTTCTTGACCTGAGCAATATTAGATACTACAGCCAAGTAACAATATAGCCGAATATTAAGCACACATAATAAATATGAAGATACAATGTGCGTTATAATTATATATAACAAATTAGTGACGGCCGTGCGTGACGTATCGGTTTGAGGTGTGACGTGATAATGATCAACACATTAGAAATGTATTCGCTGATTATGAATATGTACAGTTCTATGCTTACGTATATCCCATTGATATGTAATATTAAATGTTTATAGGATAATATCCTAGGTATTCTGCATGATTCTATCCAGCTCGGTTTGGTCACAAAGTCGGAAACTTGTAAACCAAGCCGAGCTTAGTTCTTATTGAGTAGCAATGGTATATTTTTTAATTACACTAATATTCTCATGAATATTTTAAATTGAACACATACATATTCATTTATCAGCGTGGTGAATAGGTAAAAAATGGATTTCGAAGGACCAACTCTACTTATACAAATCAATCCATAATTGCAATATGCAACCAAACTCCTAAGATTTAGAACATTATTTAGAATACTGATCTAACACTTTCGCTAAATCCGTTTGTGTACGACGGTCTGGAGATGAGAATAGATATTTGCAGAAGATAGTTCTTCGTCAACCGAGTTATACTTACGAAGAAAGATTTCCCCACAAAACTTAAATTATTCTAATTTGTACTTTCTTCGTCAAACTAAGGTCATTAATGGAAACTAAAGTATCCTAGGTATATTTAAGGCATGACAATTGTTCATCAAGCACCATTATTAAGACTGTAGTAATTGTCTACTTTGAGGTTATTGAGCATTCAAAAGTTCATTGATATACAACATGTATTATATTGTGCTCACATGATTCGGTATCCCAGTATAACATCAATTATCTATCTCCAAAACCGGCGTCCTATTCACTCCCTTCTATTATCTTACGCGTTGACGATCTCTGGTTTGGTGGACATACACACGTACACATAATCCGATTCGGAGTCGAGGCGCGCACGGCTGGCCCTGCGTTAGGCAGTTGCCACTTGCCATAACTATGAGGTGGCTCTTAGAAGCGCGGTCCGCTAAAGAGCTGTGACCGCTCGACGATCCATCCTCCGCAATGACACACACTGTCTTCCATTTCAGAGTCGGCTGTGGAAAATGTCAACCGATATATATAGAATATTAGCACAGCACATATGTTGTTATTGATTTATATAAGTATCGATAAGAAATATTTTTGAAAAAACCCAAATTTAAACACCTTTTTTTTTAGTATTTAAAATAAAAAACCAGTAGTTTTTTAAAATTAAACTTTAAAAATGTGAAGAAATGACAAAAAGTGAATTTTCCCCCAAAACAACAACGCCATCTAGTCCCAAACAAACAGAATTGTACAGGGGTACAGCAATGATTAAATACATATATACTTTTTTTTTTTAAATACATACTTTTAAATATCCAAAAGACCAAATCAAACATTAAAATTTCATGCCCAAATGTTTTACTTGAGCGGTATCAAAACCCCAACTTTGGGAAAAACATCCTTACACAAACCGTACGCCCCTCCAGTATCAAAAGAACTTTGTGTTTGACAAGCAAATAAACCCTTTTACCAGCAGGTTGGCCCGGGTATAATTTAATACCAGGGACTGCACCGGTGGGTTCAAAAGCTACAATATCATCGGTCAATTTTTTCTTTAACTAAATCATTTTTGACCCCGTCAGTCAAAAATATATTTTTTAAAACCAAGGGAAAAAAGTAACTAAAAAGTGCTTCAGTATATTAATTTTTACTACCAAGTGCTGCCGTGTAACAGAAAAGTTGGGAAGAAATGTGTTGAAAGTTTTAAACTCAGCCAACCGCCAGCTCATAAAGTTTTTTTTTTAATACAAAAAAATTAACAAAAATAGTATTTATTTCCATGTTTCCAACGATTGACATTGCCTTTAGGAACCCAAATTTTTTTTAAAAAAAAAAAAAAAAAAAAACATTTTTGTGCTACTTGCATTTGTAATAAAAATAGTAACCAATAATTTAAAAAAAGATTAAACAAAAGGCAAAAGGGGGTGTAAAAATAAAAAAGTTTTTAGAATTTTTTATTTTGTGGCTAGGGGATACGATTTATGTTAATATTACAACTGGGGATTAGCAAAATACAGTTACTATTGACAATATTGATGTTTAATACAATGAATTCAAACCCAAAGGGAGGTAATAGCATTTTGTGATCGTCGTACCCCTAAAAACCCATAAGATCTAAAACTCTAGAAAAAAACATCTATCACTAATTTGTATAAACGAACTCCCTGGATCCTGGATCCGTCCCGCCTGGATGCTGTTCTTCGACAGACGCTGAAAATTGCCGACTGATACATGGTTTTCACCCCGGAAGGGGATTATAAGGAGGAATGAGTATATCTTTAAAGGGTTGGGATAAAATTTCGGATTTCGAAATTTTTCCCCCAAAAAAAATGTCGACATAGGCTTTACTGCACCGCCCAAATCAATTGTTATATAAAATCAATGTACTCGGAATTTATATCAAACGGTACTACGGATTAAAAAAAGGGGCGTACCCCCTTTTTTTTTTCTTTTTCTTTTTAAAAAAACTTACTACCCCCAAAAATGAATTAAACAGTAGGGGGTACCACACGCAGCCTTTTACCTAACCCCACCCAACATGATTGGGACAGATGGGATAAGATTGGTTTTTTTTTTATGGGGTAAGGGAGTATTTCCCTACCCGTGTAAACATGTTAAACCATTACTGCGAAAATTGGGGCGATTTCAACTTCAAAAAATTATGCTGTTCTTCGGGGAAGAATAAAACCCAGAAATAAAAAATTTTTATTTTTGTTGGGGGTAATAAATTACCTACTAAACAAGTTACATAACTTGTTTAGTAGGTAAGAAAATCCCAGACATTAAGAATGCTAGCTTAGTGACATCACTAAGCTAGCATTCTTAATGTCGGGGATTTTCTGATATCTTCATTTAGCCTTGCTTAGGCATGTTTATTAATCGGGGACCATATTTTACAGCATGTTATTATAATCCCCTCGTCTCTCCGACTCCCAGGCAAGAGTGCATGGTGTTGCTACTAAAACTACTCCGACAACCGTACCCGGTACCCGAACCAAATGATCTCTGGACCCCCCGAATCGAAGCCGCGCCTAACCAGCCCTATCCAGAATGTCATTATAACCCTAGTAACATATTAATGTCATTACATTAACAATCTACACATATACACACTGCAACATAATAACTTCAATTTTTTTGAGAATTAGATATATATTTATTCGTGTTTTTAATCTCCAGATAATAAATCCTTCAAGGTAGATTTTATAATAAGTTTTTGTCAATCTTTTTCACGAAAAGGCTAAGAAATTCGAATTGTAAAAATAGACTAATATTGTAACTTTTTCATATGACTGAAAATCACTTACCATTTTAGACAAATGTATCCATAACGGCTAAGTTCCCCGGTATCGGATTTACCTTTTACTGAGGCGTTAATAACTTGTTTTATCTATATTTATATATACATATTTGTTAATTTTACGATACACGCTTGGTATCTTAAAAGATCACCAGCCGAAATCGACTAATCTTACACCGTAGACTAAGTACTATGTTAGTAATGATTATGACATATATATATGATAAGTGGTAATGTTGAAATGCCTATGCGTGAGTTGTTGGAACGTATGCGCTTTGACAGTAAAATGTGGAGTAGAACATCTCCAAAGGCTGGGGGGTGTGGAGCAGGAGGAGCAAGTTAGGCTAATAGTTGGAAAAGATTTGTCGTCACAATTTTTTAACATTAACTTCGTTACGTAAACGTACGTATGTAGCAGGGATCTTAAACACAATTTAATCAAAACTTTTAATACTGTACTTAGAATATTATATTTATCATAAATAATTCCTTTCTCTTTATACTTTAAGCTTAGAAATCCAATGCATCAGTATATTGCGTTATTGCTTAATGAGACGCGATCTAACCAAGTTGCATTGCAGATTTTAAATTTAGTAATTATTCAAATTCGTTATTATACAATTTATATTGTTTAAAACTTCAATTTGTATTGGACAGAATATCTTTTTTATTTGCAAGTAAAAGAGAAATATCCACATTGACTGTCAATATCGTAAGCCTTCATTGCAGTCGATGGTGAACGCTACATGCACGAGTTAGCTCCCGATGTTACTTGTGGCAAGCGTACATGCTTTATTCTAAAATTCAACGTACCAGTAGTAAATATAAATTAATTGCTTATTTCTAAGATCAGGTACGTTCAGGACTCTCTTAAGACCTGCCATACAATGACGTGGGAGGCTGTGTCGCGTATGTCATCGGCATGCTCTTCTATAACGGCAAAAAAAGAAAAACCGGAGAAATTAAAAACATGACCCACTCTGCCTAATCGGGCTGCGTTTTCCACTAAACTGTGTGTTTGTGAGGGTATTGTAATATTATTTGTTCACTTTATTAATGTTAAATTTCATTAATTCAATGTGTATTGAAAATGAAACAGTTTAAATAGATAAATCACGATCTATTAAGATATTAATCGTCGATTATCACAGTAAATTTTATTTGTGCAGTTGTCTGTTAAAGTGAAGTGTAGCATAATTATACTGTCCTAAACACAACACAACAAGCAAAAAACTTGTGAACCACCTCCTTAGGTTAGAACACATGGTAGACACAACAACACATTTTAGTTGGAAACACTTTGAAAACTCAAATCAAACAATAGGCACAAATTCTAAATATAAATATCTCGCACCTTTTAACATAAAATAAATCTAACGACCGTCACAAATCGTGAGTCACTCCATATTCAATGTCACTTTATTAATTATTGGATAAACAGAGAACAAATCAAAAGATAAAATGTCATTAAACAAGAACATTTAGAGCTAGCGACTCGTGACGGCCACAATACTATGCATAAAAGCAATAAAAGCATCAATCTAGTAACCTAATTTTACTAAGCGAAGCCTATTAACGCAATGAACATGAGTCTTAGTCTACACTAGCGTGCATATTGCTTGTTTTGATTTGATTGTAAGTATTTAATCACACACTATGGGGTGAATTAAATATATTTCAAGACAAAACAGCATTATTTTCTAATTAACTTTTTGAGACAATTTCTCAGTAATGTCAATATTAAAATTTATAGTTATTTTCAGTTTTGCCGAATACACATAAATATTCATGATTCATTAATATATTCTAATATTGGTAACTGGGACTAATATTGTTTTATATCATCAAGAAGGAAATAAGAATTGTTTTATAATGTAGGCTAAGGGAAACGCGTAATATAAAGTCTTGTCTGTCAAGTAATACGTCACTAAAGTCATAATGTGTTGTTTATACAGATTTAAGCTATGAACAGTTTACAATGAAGTTATTTATCATTGTACAGAGTACTGCAAAAGTATAAGTTGTAAACATTTAGTAATTTTACATTAAATTAGTACTTTGACAACATTATCTGAAAAGTTTGCTTTGGAGTATTTGCTTTAATGTTTTGTTTATAGGTTTGTATGGAAATGAAGAATTTGTTCTGTGAGTGATGCGCCTGATTGGTTGTGAGTTTGAGCTAGCGTTATGTAAACTATATTAGCTGTATATTCAGTAAATATTTACTCATAGCAATAATGACGTTAGTAATATGTATATACAAAAACAATACTGTATAAGCCACGATCATTTTCCATCAATATGTGTGCTGCTGTCTTTCTATATTTGAGTTACAAAAATATTTTATGATGTCATGCCTCATGTCTTACTTTATCAAGTAAAATCAACACGTATGAGTAAACACAATGAAACCACAAGCCAATATGAACTAAGCAATGTAACGCATATGTAGATAAATAATTCGAAATATAATAGTTTAGACAATGCACAAGCATATATTTATGATAACTAGATAAGGAGTTCGGAAAAAAATATGTCCTAACGGTGATAGATGAGAAAAGGTTTTGTTTATTTATTTGTTCATAGATGTTGTTTCATCTAGTTATAATAAATCTATGTATTCATGTGACACAGTCCAGATATTACACGAGCAAACTGGTATTGCAGATCAGGTTGCACATTTCAATATAGTCACGCGTCGTGTTCGTATGTATTGGAGGACGTCCATCGGTTATAGACATCTTGGGCTACCGGTGCACAAATAACATGAGACATATCTAAACATGCGACGTACCTATTCTGAAATCGATGTATCCTTCGCCACCCGATATCACAAGCATGGGGGGGCATCGTTGGCGAAAGTCGGCGAGGAGATTCTGGAGTTCGTACTGGCGACCCCATCACTCCTGGTACGGCAACGAAGAAGGTCACCGCGTCGCGATGCCCGTGGAACGAAAGTTGAGCGTGTGCCATTGAACACCACGGAATGTTGCCGGTGGGACAGCTCGCTGATGAGCCCGCTGGAAACGTCACCACGTTATAGGTTATATTTTTAATAGTTACCTGTTTATGAATCAAGTTAATTTTTTAAACTTTAAGGTATGAAAAGGTTTTTCACATAATGGTTTTTATGGTGATTATTTTATTTAGCTAGTGCAATATTAACAATAAATGGAGAAAACATATAAAGAAAGAAACTTGTTATTTTTTAATATTTAAATATTATGAGTACTAAACTTTAAATGAGTGCAAAAATTCCATCATTTATAAATATTTCATATTCTACTAAAACAGTTTTTTTTCTCATTACAAAAGGAACTCACTTTGAACAACAACAGCTCTGGAAGAAGTCGCCTGAGCTCCAGTAGAATCCCGGCTTGAGCCCTCCGATAATGGCACAGAGATGACAACACCGTTGCTCGTTCCGATCCACAGTCGTCCAGAACTAATCAGCAACGCGGTGATCCTGACTAACGAGAAGCCCAGCTTGCCCGTACCCAACATCTTGCTAACGTAGGGCTCGATATCTACGTCTTTTAGATGTTGGTAAGTATGAGCGTGGTACAGACGAAGAGTGGAATCCATTTTGATTGACACCTGTTAGAATAAGGTAAGGTTCTAATTTTGGATATTTTATTATTCAGTTTCTAATGGACAAAATAAAACAGTTTAACCAATAGATCATTGAATGACTATGAATCTGTTTAAATAAGAAAAAACGTAACTATTATAAATTTTATAGCTACATAGTTGAGTCCAGTCACAAAATTTATAATTTGTCTATTAACAGTTATTATTAAAAAGTGCTTTAATAATCTACTCTACTTTTTTTTACGTCATAGGGGGCAGATGAGCAGACGGGTCACCTGATGGAAAGTGACCATCGCCGCCCATGTACGTCTGTGACTACGCTCTTTTCTTGAAGGTTTGAAGGTCTTATCGGTCTGGAAATACCGCAGACGATAGCCCGTTCCAATTGGTTGTGCGGGGCAAAAAAAAAAACACGAAAAGCACACAGTAGTGGAGCGCCAATTATCCAGGTGATGAGGATGAAATTTTGCCGTGTGGAACGATGGCGGTAAGTTATCAGTTTGGTCACAAACAAAAATTTAATAATTAGTTTTTGAGTCTTAAAATTGTTGATTTTGCTTTACTCATCACAATATCTCGGAGAAATTAAATAAACACACGATAATTACCCAAACGCCGTCACCGTCACAAGCCATCTGTCTCACTTGGCTCTCTTGCCGCGGGTGAGCTTCTAACGAATGCAGTAGGAGTCGCGACCGCGGTTCTATTACATGCACTTTGTTGCGGTATCCGCACCACACTGTACAACCGACCGCGGATAAACAGCGTACTGCAAAAGATTGGTATTATTTATTCCGTTACTAACAGGGTACCAGCGCAATCTCTTAAAGTAAGGTAACATACAGATATCGAAACCATTTTTTTTATTCGGTAACGTTAAAAACCACTTCCGAGACAGAACCTTTTTTTAAAGTTCGTCGTCCTTCTTCAAGCATTTTTGGAATGTCTACATCTTTAAAAGCCCTTAAAGACCTGAGAATTTGCATACAAATAGCAATTATGTTACCTGAACATTTAGGATCTCCGAGCATAAGAATCCAGTACTGAGAGAAGTCCCATTGCCCGTCGGCATGCCGTGAGAATATCGCTACAGTTCCGTCCGCCAGCGCAACGATACAACGCGACGCACACGCCACTATAGACAGTATGGCATCATTTAGCTTCACTCTGAAAAAAAGGCAGGTTTTTTAAGGTAAAAACTTCTCAAAGGAGCTCAACCCAAACCCTCAAAATCAGGGTTTGAACTCTGATAGCCTCAATCACTCGGTGAAAAGCAATGAAAGAATTGCTTAACACCCGTTTCTGTGTTATCACTCCGGTGGGGCCAGCCCATTGGTGAGAAAACATGGCTCGCCCATCGATAAGAATGACTTATATTGTCTACATTTTCTCTAGGGATGGAATAAATCAAAATAACATGTGATAAATCATATGATCTAAATATCATATCACCACATCTGTGACTGATTTATTTTATTATTACGCTAGCACAAGAGTCGCGAAATCTAAATAAAAAAAAGTCGTAATCTTTGATAAAAAGAATTTTGATTGATTTCATGCCACATTTCTTTGTCTATGACAATATCACAATCACATGTGAAATAGCTGTGACTAGAACCAATCATTTCACTAAACGAATATAATTTAAAAGCAGCAATAATTGTCATGTCTAATTTTCTCTGCACTAAAAATATAACTAGGTAATTATAGGCAAACATATCTATACTCGTACAAATAGGGATTTTACTGAAAGTATCTGAGAAACACGGATACTTTTATTAAAACAATCATTTAAAAAAAACTATCGTTTGTCTGCTACTGGTTTGGAACAAGAAAAATTTAATTATTTGATAACACAGGCCGACAACCCTGAGACCCAGAAACCAGAGTATCTTCGCCGAAGGTTTTTGGTGCGCCAAACCCGATCCAAAATCCGGATTGGCTCTGGTTTCTGAGATACCATAACCTAGAGTGAAAATTATGATTGATTTGATTTGATGTGATTTTAAGCCTTCGGAAAGTTTTCTCTGGTTTTTGGGTTTTAGTAGTTTTAGTACCTAGTTTTAGTAGTTTCATGTGTTAAATATTATCAAGAATGTACTTACCTAGCGAGACATTTTTTATAATTTCCAACTGCAGAATGTATGTACAGGTTCCCACTCTTAGTGCCTAGCCACATTGTCGCCATCACGGTGGACATCTTACGATCTGGAGACACCTCCTCCGGTTTTTCCTCAGTTTTGGATTGCTGTTGAGCGAAAGCCTCTACTCCTGGTTCCGGCGACCCGAGATGTCCTCCTGAATGGAATTGCAATCTTAAAACTAAAAAGAAGTATCCTAAGACTTCTATTAGGAAAATGACGTCATATTGTCTTTTTTCTTTTTTTAAAAAGCCAACTCCCGCCTAGGAATAAATCCTGTGTCGCGGGGGACTTTACAAACATACATGAAACGGACACAAAGTACACCCAGACTCAGAACAACAATTTGTGGATCACACAAAGTGTTATCCCATGTGGGGTTTGAACCCACAACACTCGGCGCAATAGGAAGCGGCGTGGCAACCGCTTAAACCACTACGCCATCCGTGCAGGTCGTTGAAAGTTTGTGTTAAGTTGTTGAAAGTTTATGTTTTTTTAAATATAATATGTGGACGTTTATTAGAGGAATTGATTTGATTTGACTACATTTATGTAGATTACATATGCTTATATTCCTTAGCAATAATGAGTTCTCGTGACTGAGAAAATCATGATATTACTCCACTATCGTTTTCGTATCGAATATTATACTATTATATTTCACAGCTACCACAAATATAAAGACCTCGCGATTAGAAACGTAATAAAACAAAAATCTTCTTACTTTTAACTTACTAACTACTACTCAATGGAGAAATGAACGACAAAAAATATATAAGTATTCTATCAGTCAATGTAGCTTTCATAGTACAAGCTCTGCTTAGATTGAAACTAGATGGCGTTGTGTTTCAGATGTCCGAAAAAATAGGAAACTGACAGTTAATCATTGAGAAAGACAATCAAATGCGATGGAGTGTTTTTAGTGGGCAATTATAAAAGTAACTTTGCTATTTCAATTTTTCTCTTTAGCTGATGTTTTTGTTAATAGAATATTATTTCTGCGTGAGTGTGCTCATGGTATAATTGTAATACATAGTATATTCTAGTCTCATAGACCAGTAATTACCGTTAACAGGGGTAGAACTGAGCGGTGGGCTATCATGAGCAGCGGGATCAGGTCCCTCAACGTTCTTGACCACGGTTTCCTCCGTCTGTGGTTCAGACGCAGGCTCGGGCTCATTCACTGGAGTGCTCGGTGGAGTCAGGATTGTTGCTTTCACCTAATTAAAATACATTATGAAATATGTCGGTGCTCCAAGCACATTCAAACACATTACTAAGGAAGTTAAGGTTCTATTTTCACAAAACATATTAGAATGAACTACTCTCAGAGTATTAGTAGTCTTCGTAATCGTCTGAGGATCGTGACTCTTTCATCCTGTCGACGATCTGTCTCCATCGGTTGAAGATCAGTCGCTTGGTGGAGTCCCGATACTTATTGGCATCTCCAGCTGTATCCAGCTCCAGCTGGGTATTAGTAGTAGTATATGCAGCCCCTTTTTTCACCATTACCTCTATACGTCAGATTTTGGCATAAAATACCGTATCCTTTAATTGGGTACAGTAAGTGTGTCTACTTATCTAAATGAAGCTAAGAGATAGAATGCAATGACAAAGGCGATACCAAGCGTAAAAGTTGATACTTACAAAAATCGCCTCAATTATTTTGGCTTAAATGAATCGTCTTTTCAATTAAACAATTAGATTATAACAACTTACCAGTCGGGTACTGCCAACAATAACCGCATCTTTATCGCCATTTTCTTCATTAGAATTGTTCTTCTGGGTAATCTCTACAGAGTCGATCCTTCCAGCACAAAACAACGACTGCAAATAAAATAATGTCCGTATGGATTGAGGAGCTACTTATCATATCTCAAGTAAATAAATATTATTATTTAGTAGTAAATTAAAAAGAAATAGCCTTGATCCCCGATTTCGTAGTATAATACTTCTTAAGTTATATGAACATAAAGCAGCCACGTCAGAACTAGGAACATAATGGATGTAGATTTATCATAATTGGTATTTGAGGGAGTAGTTAGTAGACAAAACTGAGCGGTAATATTAAAATTAAAAAAAGTTACCGTACATTACACATGTGGGGTTCCGCAGACCATACATACGACTGTCATTTTTCAAAAAGCAGTCTTTCAATTAATGCGCATTTCTTCATCATTTAGTTAAATCATCATCATCATTAAAAATGAGTGAATTTAGGACTGTTTCGTTTCTATTTGTGATTAACTATTGCTATAAATTTGTAGTGTAAAGAGTCAGTAATTAAAAATGAGTGAATTGGGCGATATGGCCATGAATAACTTATATAAAAGGTATTTTTTCATTCCGTTCCGGTAAAAACACTAATCTATTTTTATTTTATTTCATCTAATTATTTGGGTAACTGCAAATTAATGTGGTTACCTACATACAATCGATAATATTTATTTAGCTCGCTATCGCTATAACTATACACCACGACACAAGAGTCAGTATCTCAACACTGATAAATAGTTTATTATTTAATTATTATTATCGATACTAAGTGCGGCAAAAATAGCTAGTAGTATTATAATACGTGTTAATTTATCCCTGCAATTAGCAAGTCGACCTAAATACTTTAAAGGGTTGTAGTTGCCATTATTTCTGATAGATTTCACAGTGCAATACCATTTCCAAACCTAACCATTTTTAAGATATTTTACTTTAAAGATTTTTTCTAAGAATTACCTAAATATTGGCTAAGACAAATTTTTAGAAGTTATGTCCTTTATTTTATGCGTGTTTACTGTTTTAGTGTAGTGGTTAAATTGTTAAAGAATGGCTGGGTCTAATTATCGTAATAAGTGGATTGAAAAAGGTGGTTGGGTGCCTCGTGCGGATACGCGTTGGCAGTATCCGTAACAATTCGCAATATCAGCATATTCCTCGTTCGTATAGGTCGCCATCTTCAACGGTATTAGAAGCACAAATCAAAGTAATCTTAGCTATAGAAAACGAAACAGTCCAAAAATAAAAGCTAAGTTCCTCAAGTAGGAACTACCGGGTTATACGCTAATTCTTAAACACTCCCGGTCTCTCATCTATGTTTTTTTTCCATAAATTCTGATAGTATCCTAGTCTATTATATATTCATAGATAGCTGAGAACGTACAAGTTTTTAACACTTCACTGTTTAACTGTCATATTTTTTTTTTTTACATTATTCGTCAAAGAACAAAAATTGTTTTACAAATTTCTTGTTGCTATTATTTTAAAGTAAATTAAACATTATTAAAGTAAACAACAATTTTGGAAATTGGGGTTACAAAACATTTATGTACTACACAACAATATAAAAAAAGGATAAAATAAAGGATATAATTTCAAAAAAATGGATTATATGAAAATTTAATTTTAAAGACTACTTCTAGTATTTCACATTTTGACGCTATTTGTCACCCGAAATAGCGAATTCATAAAGGGTTATTAAAAAAAAAAAAAAATTTTTAGGTACTGACCTATACATTCAATCAAAAAGTATCGGGAATGGATGATTTGTTTGAAATTCAAATTTTTGTTTTTTTTTTGTTGTTGTTAGATTGTCACAACTGTTTTCCATTTTGGCGCGGAGTTTGAGTTGCAACTGTTATTTATATTAAATACAGTTTTTATTTATATCATATCTAGTGTGTATTCAATTGCGAATTTCATAATGGACAAAAACATCGAACAAAGAGTTTGTCTTAAATTTTGCATCGCCAATGGAATTTGCATTTCGGAGTCACTGAAAATGTTACAGAAGGCTTACGGTGAAATCGACTTTATCAAAACACGTGCTTATGAGTGTTACAAAGGGTTCAAAAGCTGTCGAGATAGAGATGGGAGATTTGCCTTCGCTCTGGTAGGCCATCAACGTCTGCAACTGAAGTTAACATCGCAAAAAGTGAAGGAAATAATGACTGAAAATCCTCATTCAATTTTGAGAGAGATAGCCGCCGAACTTTCTGTATCTCACGAGTCGATCCGTACCATTTTAACTAATCATTTGGGTATGAAACATGCTACCGCTCGGCTAGTCCCAAAAGACCTGAATTTTCTCCAAAAACTCAATCGCATTAGAGTCGCTGAGGACATGCTAGAACGAGCCAATTCCGACCCAACATTCATGAAACGCATTGTTACTGCTGACGAGACGTGGTTTACGAGTTTGATATGCAAACTAGTCAACAAGCTTCGGAGTGGCGCCTTCCAACTGAACCGAAACCGAAAAAAAGGTCAAAGTCATGTTGACTGTTTTCTTTGACTATCGCGGTGTTGTGTACTCGGAATTCTTGCCGAAAGGTCAAACGGTAAATAAAGAATATTATTTGAGCATTATGCGGCATTTAAGAGAGCAAATTCAACGAAAAAGGCCATATTTGTGGATAGAAAATTCTTGGATTTTGCACCACGATAATGCGCCTTCCGCATAAGGCCATCATTGTGAACGAATTTTTGACCAAACACTCAACAAATACCAACGAGCAACCACCATATTGACCAGATACGGCTCCAGCCGAATTCTTTCTTTTTCCTAAACTCAAATTAACCACTTCGTGGCACCCGTTTTCAATCGGTAGAAAACATAAGGAGAATTCGCGGCGAGAAACTGAACTCAATTCCGGAAACAGCGTTAAAAAAAATGTTTTGATGATTGGATTATTCGTCGGCGTAAGTGTATCGTTTCTAAAGGAACATACTTTGAAGGTGATAAAATAAATTTGGATGAATAACAAACATTTTGTGTATTATTGATCTTTTCTTGACAGAGTAGTATACAACGTTGATCTGTACATATTTATTTAGTAGAAAATTATGCTAAATAGTAGTGTCCCTGGTTTTTGTTTCTGTTGTGATCTCAGGTACCTACCTAACAATCGATTATTATTATACACAACGTCAGGATTTAGGAGCCAAATAAAATGAGTTTATTTACTAAATCCACTCATTTTTTCTACTTTCTCCTGTTGCTACAAATTGAAACAGACTGGCTACTAAATGTTTTTTGCAGTGGAATATTAATTTTGGACCTATTACTTTCATGACAATTCACGCACTTAAATATAGATTAAGGAGCCATATTAAAAGTATTGTATATTCTTGAATATCAACGTTACTGGATTAGGATTTGAGTAGGCTCTATAAACAATTACTACTAAATGATACATTTTCGAAAATATTCATTAAATATTTTAAGTGTTTCAGCTGGTTCCTCAATTTAGATGTTTAGATTGAGGAGCGACTTTTACATTGATATAACTTTGGATATACCTTACTACAATTTACTTCATCATCATCAACAGCCTTTACCAGTCCACTGCTTGACATAGGCCTCTCCTTAGAAAGGAGGTTTTGGCCTACTATACCTCGCTGGCCAGACGGGTTGGTGTAGGGTTTGTGTCAAGTTTTCCTTCTCTCTGCAGTGATGTTGTTATGCGTAGTTTTTCCCGTAGTGTGTTTCATCCCGTAGTCGGCTCTTACGACACCCACGGGATGAATAGGGGTGGTGACACTCTGTATTCTTAATCCGTCACCACACAATTTACTTACAATTACTAAATAAGGGGTGAGTTTCCGTTTAAAATGTGAAGTGGCTCCTCAATCCATACGAAACATATAAAAGATATACCATTATTGGTGGATTGGTCATCACCACTATTAATAGTTTAATATTGAGGCATAAATTGTAACTTCACACATCTCATATATATTATGAGAAAGTGTAATTAACAAAGAAAGCTAAATTTTTATGATGGTATGGGAGCTACAACTGCCAACAAACTGCTCTGTAGTTTAGCATTAGTAAAAAACACTTTTTCTTTTTCTTTTTTTTCACACAGACTCTGACTCCAAACTCAGCAGAGTCTGTACTAAAGTATAATGATTGCAGCTGACATTTCACAGCTGCTTTTATAGGACATAGTTTCGCTCCTATAAGTCGTAGCATGATGTTTACAGGACAAAATTTTATGAGGTATTAAAGTTATATGGACTTACTAAGAATTGTTTTTTAATCCTGAAGTAAGTCTACCAATTTAAAAAGCAACATACCGGGGGACGTTTGTTCTCAGTGACTCCTGCCACTCGTTCCTGGTATTCTCTATAATCTTCGGCCACAGCACCTGGCACCGACGCAACACACAGAATGTGCTTATCCGTCACGGGGAACGATTCTATAACATCTGCTGGATTATTTGCGTCGATAATCTGGAAATGATTATTTTTTGTCATCAATGTATTCTCCGATTACGTGTATAGCTTATTACAAAATAGCGAATGCATAACTGACATCGTAGTAATCAATATAAAAGCTAAACGTACACAGCGGCTCTTAGATCTTATATATATTATTATATATATATATATATATATATATATATATATTATATATTATAGATGACAAAACATGGAAAAGTAAACTAAGTTTCCACGGCGTATAGATTACTTTGGACTAGACAACAAAAAAGTTCAAAAAATTTGGGGGTCATTGCCAGAAATAGTAACAGTACGTCTCTCGTGCGTATACATTGTCTCACATGTACGGATGGTGAGGAGACAGTCGCGTGCGAGCGGTAGCGTGCGTGCGGCATGGCAGTCACGCTAGAGGAATGTACCAGAATCCTAACTTTTTGAAACAGCCAGAAACATTGGTGTATCTTTGTCGACTGTTCAGCGGGTAGTCCAGCGGTACCAAGAGACCGGATCACACCTTAGAAGACCAGGAAATGGCAGACCAAGATGCACAACGGCCAGGGAAGACAGACAACTTGTGGCTACAATGCCTCCGAAATCGTTTTCAAACTGCTGTTGGTCTAAAAACTCACTTTATTCGCTTTGGAGGTGGCAATTTAAGCGCTCAACCAGTAAGAAGACGTGAAGACGGCAAATGGCCCCAAACTGGAACGGGGACATCGAATTGCAAGACAGAGATACGTGCGCGAGCACCTAAACTGGAGACTAGACGATTGGTCTAGGGTAATGTTCAAGGACGAGTCTAAATTCATGCTTTATAAGCATGATCGTAGGCAGTTGGTGTACAGAAGACCAGGGGAGCGCTTCCATCAAGCGTGTGTGGAGGAAAAAGTGGCGTACGGTGGAGGCCTCCGTACAAGTTTGGGCTGGGATTTCTACTGAGGCCCGCACCGAGCTGGTACTCATTCAAAATGGAACTCTAAATGCAGAGAGGTACGTGGAAGAGATCCTCAATGAACATGTAGGTCCTTCCATGGCCAGGATGGACCGGCATGGCATATTAATGCATGATAATGCGCGTCCCCATACCGTCAGAATTGTACATGACTACCTTAAAGAGGTCGGTATCGAACTCATGCAGTGGCCAGCGCGAAGCTCGGACTTAAACCCCATCGAGCACGCCTGGGACGAGCTTCAGAGATGCGTGAAAGGTCGAAACCCCCCACTGATTGGTGGGGGGTTTCGACCTTTCACGCTTCCCGAGCTCAAACAAACACTGGTGGAGGAATGGAAGGTATTCCTCAGCACCGGCACCGAAAATTTGGTGTACAGCATGCCTAATCGCCTGGAAGCTGTCAGAAGAGCTCGTGGAGGCAATACAAAGTATTAAATGAAGAAAGTGATGAAAAACAGTAAAAAAAACAATCATAAAAAAATGTAATCTTAATAAAAATATGACTACTTTAGTTTTTTTTTTTAATTTAGAGTTAAGTTAAGAGTTAGAGAGTTTCGATTTAAGTTTTATTTTATTTTTTATCTGTTTAATTAAATTCTCAATTGAACAGTCTTCGTTTCATTAGGATGGCATACGTAGTTCGGGAGATATTCGGGTTTATGTGACTGACCCGTTATTTTTGGAACCGAGTTTATATTGTTAATGTTATCGTGGGGTAACAACAGTAGAACAAACCATGACTACGCCCTTGCTCTGGTTACTGGAACAAATCCAGACTAGGGATGACAAGGTTTTTTTCTGTGTACTCCACGTTGTGAGTCGATTCGATCTGTTGATTTATTTCTTCTACCTCCGGGGAGTGTACCAACTGGGCCTTACTCATCTCGTACGCTAAAACGGAAAAGTTTCAAAATTGGTTAACAGTTAATGAGTTAGTTTACAAATTGAGACAGAACTAGATTAGACTAGAACTTAGATTTACAAATAAATATATCGTTTTCTTGCTATGGGTACATAAATGTAAGCTTTCCGCAACTATTGAAAAAAAAAATAGGACGTATTAAAATGAAACATAATGCATTATTATTTTGTAACAGAATATACTTAAACATTCGCATTACTTTTATATATTATATTTGAACTTGTTTTAAGTTCTTAAAACATCGTCTTTAAAGAGAATGCTGACCAAATTTACTAAGTATATACACATTTATGCATTTAAATACTAACCCAACGACATGGTGTTTTCAGTCTTGACATCCTGGTTGGCATAAAACACACTCTCGCCGATCATGCAGCCCCCATCTGGGGTTCGACCTCCATTTAAATTGACGGCAGCTGCGCACAGCAACGTCATACGTGGTTCATTTTCAGCTATTGGCCTGGAAATAATAGCAACTTGTATGGATCGCCTCAAAGCGTAACTTTAACGTGGAACGCAGTTGTTTGGTTTAGAAACGTTTAATTTACTATTTGACTCCTATTTGTCGAAGTGGGTATTAACTCTATAAAACGAAACTTAAGGAACCGAGAACTTTTTGTCTAGACATTTATCGCCATCGGTATAGAGTATAGAAAAAAAACTGCATGAGTATTTATATTTATATACACTGAATTGCTTGACATTATGATCTAGTTTGCACTAGGCCGTGGTCTCAGCATGTAACTACGACCAGTCTAATACGATAATTGCAATAGTGTGCTTAGTTTAAGACCATAATTTATTGGAGATAATACAGTGGATATTTAATGATGTAATGTTTAAATAATAAATAACGATAAAAACCAGGTCTTGCCATTTACGGCCTCAGAAGGTTTAGTTAACTGTGTAAATATGAACACTTTTCTTCGTAATAAAGAAAAAGCTGTTTCGCTATAAAGAGTTTTTGGAACAATAACAAAATATGCGTTATAAATAGGTCCAAAAAACAGTCAAGGTTCTTACTACTTTACACACTCGACTGTGGACTAATTACCATCCTGCAAAAGACCTTGCGTTTTTAATACAGCAAAGAGGGACAGTGATAGCACTGGTATTGCGAATATCTCTGGGCATCGGTTACCGCCTATCACATTTTTTAATAACTGACTCTAATGAGAAAACTCACTAGAAATATTATCATTACTGACGATGTGATCTTTTGCCCATCTCAATTTAACACTACGTATAAATTAGTACTACGTCGACGTTAACATCGACAAATTGTATTTCTAATTCAAATTCGTAATAACTCAAACAGCTAACTATCATAAGAAAATTTAGTAAGCCTAAATAGCTTATAACTAACAACAATTCATTTCATTTATGTTTAATTTAATAACATTTTTTGGATTTTGCCTGGACATTTATCTTTTTACGGAATGCAAAATTTCATGATGCACTTATTTATTATCCGGAGAGACAAACATCAAATCCAAACGTCAACAAGCTGAATACTTCTTATAAAAACAGACTAATATATATAAGAGTACTTTGTAATAAAAAAATAGGCTAACCTGCAGAATACAGGCACTGGCACTGGTACTTCCTCCCGAAGATAGAGATGTACACGAACTGGGACCTTTCTGTCCCTGTCCGCTCTTGCTTGGCAGGCTCCACCCATATGCCTGTGTACGTCCGTCTTCCTTTCGAACATGCGCCCCGAACCTACATGCGCACACACGCAATGTGTACGTATTCACATTATATAAGGTAAACTGCCACATTATCGACATTTACAATTCTCTCAAGTAAAAGTGACTTTTAATTAGGTATTTTTATGGTAGCAAATACATATAAACTGATATAAATTTAGAATTACACTCTCGTTAATGTTATTCATATTTATTGAAAATATATATTTTTACAAACTGAATCGGGCATCCCCTACATATATGTACATATGAGTCGAACCGCATATATTGTCAATACTTTCGAAAATTCAATAATTTTCAAAGGTGAGACTTTCTTCGATATCTCTTTTTGAAATTAATGTTTATAGTATTATTTTTAAAAGTAAGAATTACTAAAAACAAAATGCCTAAATGAAAAATGTATCAATATGAAATAATTGACTTACATTTTTGCAAAATCTTTATAACAGTTACCACCAGAATAAAAAAATGTTGGTAGTGTCAATAACAAGGCAGTTTACTCTATGTGTTTATCAAATTATTAAGCCTAACATTACAGAAGAAATAAATCATTAGGATAAAAACAAACACAAAATCTAAAAAAACTTACTATTTAATAAAGGATATACTACACATACATATTATGAACTAACATTGAACACATGCGTAAATCTAGTACACTTAAAGTCATTAGCACTTCAAACTTATGCTTCATTGATTCCACTGAAAACAAAAAAGGATAGGAAATTAGGTAGGAAAAGGAAGAAACGAAAACACTAAAATTGACAAAACACAAGAGGAAGGAGAAAAAGGTTAGACCTCATTTGCTGTACACATAAACATTGTTAATATACATTGTTGTAACTTGAACTGAATGATCTGCGTACTTTAAACGGTGGCACATTACGTTATATCAGTTATCAATTGCAAATGAAGGATTTATGAAGACAGCCTAATTTTGTGTCTTTTAATTTGATTTAATGGGCTGATTCGAGTTTACTTTTTAGTTGACAGAAAAACACACAGACCAGATGACGGTGACAACTGTGAACGAGGGTTACTTTTACTCAGTGAGTGGTTTCAAATTTGATAAAGTAGAAATGTATACTACTAATGTTATGTGTAGCCGATCAAGGTTAAACCTTTAAGCGGAATAGAGGTGAAATTGAAAGCATTACTGCATCGCTGAAGCTTAGTTGATTGCAGCAAATATGGCGTGCGAGTGGTTTACTTCAAAAGATAATGGAATAGGATATTATGATAAAAGATGTTTGAAGCGATAATAACGAAGCTAGGTTTTCTTCAGTGTCCGATGGCTTTAATTCGAAATAACAGGAGTTCAATAGTTGGACACAAATGATAGTGCTTTATGACAAAGTGCACGGGCACAAGAATTGAAAGTGATTTCTGCCGTAGTTCATTATATGCATACAACCATAATACCGCCAAAAAATGTAAAGACAATACAATTTTCCGTAAATACACAATACAAATAAATACAATATATAAACAGTAGTAATCAATAATATCCCCCGGTGCCAAGAGCAGGCACACCAGGTCACCCCTTACCACGCTTGACGTGGACTTCTGCAATATCAGGGTTCTGCCCTCCATCCTTAACGCTGTCCTCCACCAATTCGAGACAGTGACCGGCCTTCCTCTTTTTAACCGAGATGCAGATATCAGCTCTATCGGACACATCCTACCTCTCCTACCCTGGCTATCATCTGGAACACTCCTTTGTAGCTAAGACTTGAGTGTGCATGTACGTCAGAAATGATACCAGTTCTCGCCGCCTCGGCAACCTTCAAGACATTATTATTAATATCCCCGCGTCTATGTATGCCTCTACAGGTCCCATAGCGGTGATACTGAAATTAACCGACTAATGGACCACGCCCAAATGGCTACAGATTCTATGATGCAGCAGATCCCATCCGCAGAGATCGTAATAATGGCTTGGCTCAATCACGATCACGATCCCCGATCACGCGGGGAGATCTGTTACAATTTCGCCCTGGCCTATGGCTTTTGACAACTGCCAACACAACGCCCATGTGAGTCCCAAATGTGGAAAGTCATTCACTGTCAAGCCTTCACTGTTTGACCTTCTGCGGACCTCTGATCCGGACGGTTACAAAGTCACCGTTAAGGCAAGGCAAGGCAAGTAGGGCGTGCCTCCTGGGAAACATTGCTTAATCCCGAGTACGGTGCCACTCACGTGCTTGCCGCACCCGAGAGGTGCAGGTTGCCGTCACCTATGGCACTAAAGGTCAGCGGACTGGGATGAGATGCATTTTCTTCTATGCGTCCTACCCATGGAGTCAGGTTTGTTTCTTGCCGGATGATCCCAACGTCGTTCCCGATTCTGTCACTGATCTAGTTCTTTAGGGCATGGAACTATTTGTTCCATCTACATTAATTCCCATCGGTGGCAGAACCAAGCCTTAGATCGACAGATCCGGCAAGAACTTCCTCCTGAACGTTCTGGTCTCTTGTCAAGCTATTCAGGGGAATTTCTATAGCCAATCCCTGCTACCCCTGTATTCATAATTCGAGTGTGAGTGAATCTCTCCTGTCGTGTTGAAGACGTGTGAATCCATAATCAACGGCCAATTGCACCGGTACTTAGATCACCACCAGCTCCTTCTCTGACCGACAATATGGTTTTCGCCAGGGTCGCTCAGCTGGTGATCTTCTCGTCTACCTAACACATCAGTGGGTACAGGCGATCGAGACCAAGGGAAATGTTTGTGTGGTTAGCTTGGACATAGCGAAGGCCTGCGATCAGGTCTAGCATAAGGCGCTTCTCTCAAAGCATAGTACGAGAGATGCCCTTTATACCAGCCACCCCAATATTTCTCGGGGAAAACGTCATCGAGAGTCGAAACAAACTTTGTGTCTGAAATTGAAACTTCCATAGCGGAGGTTTCAGATTGGGGTCGACCAACTCTATAAGGCACAATTCTGGCCGCATATGGAATACCGTTCTCATCTCTATGCAGGGCACCCCAGTTCTCCCTCTAGACCGCATCCAGCAAAGAGCGACTCAAATCGTCCGATACCCAAAAGATTTCCGATCGGTTTGATCCCTTGGCGTTACGTAGAGATGTAGTTTCACTCTGCGTTTTCTATCGAATATAGCATGGAGAATACTCCGAGGAATTGTTCGGACTATAAGGCTGCAATTTTTCGCCTTCGTCAAAATTTTCATCCCCATCACTTGGATAATTGGCACTCCATCACTGTGGGCTTTCCTAGACACTTTTTGCCTCACACAACCGGTATTTCCGGACCGATAAGACTCTCCGTAAAGGCCGGCAACGCGCCTGTGACTCCTGAGTTGCAGTAGTCACTGTCTATCAGGTGACCCGTCTGCTCGTTTGCCACGTGCTTTCATAAAATAAGAATAATAATAAATATACTTCTTACTTATATAAATAAATTTTAAACAAAAAACACATCAACTGCTAAACGATCGGACTTAAAATTACATGGGTTATGGTAATTTACAAACTATTTAAAAACATCAAAATATGAAAAGGCCTAAACTCACGACCGAGGTAAATTAGATTCTATCCTATGAAGAGATCAATAATTAATTTGGAACGAGTAGCATAGAAAAAGCATTTCAAGTCATTGTCTTAGAGCATATTCTATAAGAATGTTAACGCATGAGCGTCATTCTAAGAAAAGTGTAAATGTATGTGATGAACAATATGAAATTGTTATATTCTCTTAAAATGTGCAAGATATCGCACATTCAAAAGTAAAATTAAAGCAAAACAGTCTCGACGTTTCGATCCATTCATGGATAAGCATAACTTGTAAGTAAATAACATAAGTAAGTAACATGCAACGCCTCAAACGATGCAATGTGTGTATATACAAAATACATTATGTGTATTCCTAGCCCGAACTTGATATATAGCATCTAACAGAAGAATACGATTATTTTTAATGTAAGATTTTCTGAAATGTCTTTGCTTGTTTGTTATTCTTTACAATGAGCAAAGTTGCTTGATTTCGCGGCTCTTTAAGCCGGAATGGCGTTACGTCAAGGCCAGTTTATAATATAACATGATTTTCTTTAATTATTGTAATTCTCTTTTCGGATCGATTCTTGATCCAATCAGTATTAAGAAATTATTTTTAATGAGTTAAATAACAGTTTCATCACCTAGAAACAAATTGAGTAGTCTGCAGTGACGGTTTTTTTTTCAGACTATTGTAAAGGTATAATTTGTAAAGCTTGTGTTTGGTGATTTGGGCATAACGATGGTGAGTGTTTTTGTCTTATAAAGCCGTGCTAGGCTTAGAAAGAAAAAAAAAAATATTTTTCTCGTCAACCAACCTGCCGGAACTGTTCAGTTCTTTCATGCCTTCTAGAATGATGGTGATCTGTCAGTTGTGTCTCGAAGAAATCAGCCTGGGTTCTCGAGTGGCGTAGCGAAGGCTGTGGTGTGCTGCTACAGCCCGAAGATGAGGTGTTGATAAAGGGCGCTGTGGACGCTCGTTTGAACTGCAACAATAATTATTTTCACCCTCAGAATTTTGAATAGATATAAATTGTGTTAAATAAAAGTTATTGTAATACAAAAATGCATACTATTTAAATAAATAACTCCGTGCATACTCTACATCTACATGTTTAACTATGTCAGAATCGTACTATCCTAAACGACCACCACAGATTAAGAAAAATCATTTATTTTAATTGCAGTTATGAGTCAATTTATGTATCAAAAATTTTAGACGCGTTGGTTGGTTTCGATTCGTTGGTCTGATGACACCAGGCGGAATGAGATTTTTTATTTGAGCTTTTCTGCAAAATAAAATTTGTTGAATCAGGAGGATAATTGATGTGATCGTTCAGCTTAATACTGGTGAGCACCACGGTTTGTCTCTCCTATTAATAATTCAATGCATTTCAATCAGAATACAAAGATTTGGGTATGTTTAAAGTTTAAGGAGTCGGTATCAGAGAACTGTATACGAGTATAAGAAGGGTACAGTGTTAGTCACGATATCATCAAAAGTAAATTTTCTCAAACTTAGTCCTAGTTTGAGAAAAACTCACAAATAGGACATTCGGGAGATATTCTATGTAGATCTGATCTTATATTATAGACCTGGAACAACTCTTGAATTCTAAGAAAAATAGCCTTACGAGTTACTTAGCAATAACACAGTGTTATAAGAAGTGATTAAACTGTGCCATCAATATCAAACACTCGTCTAATAGTTGGTACTAAAACCAGTTTTAAGGGCCAAAGATAAGTTGTGTTAAATGTTGCTCAACAGTTTGGCAGTTCGGATAAGCAGATCGCAGAAGAAATGGTGAAAGGTAGCCAAAAATTAACATCTTTGGATTAATTCTAAGGTGTAAACATGTCACAACATGGGTACATATCTACATTAGGAAATGATACTGTCCATGAAAATACGACAAAAGGTGTAGCAATGCAACATCTTTAGGAGAAAGACATCTAAAAAATAAAGTATTCCCTAATAAACATTACATGTGGGGCGCTTGTGTCTTTACTTTCCTTAGTAGAACAGAGGAAATCTGCTTTGGCTCTACTAGACGGGATAGAGGTCTCTTGAAAACACCCACACCTGAGTAGTGGGCACTTTAGGAATAGATTATATCTTTAGTCACTATATCTACAGTAAAACAGTCTGCTCGAGTTAGAGAGGGAGCATTAATAAGACAAAAAATATTTTTACGAGTGCCCAGAGAACGTATTTCAAACAATAACAGTAATAAATTTGTTTTCTTTTTAAAAGAGTGCGTCATCGTCATTTTGCTGTTAATGCGTGTTATTAGCGTCTAACTGGCACTGCTATATGGGTGCGAAACGTGGAAGGACACAAAAGCCATCTTGAACCGGCTCCTGGTCTTCGTTAACCGTTGCCTTGCCTGCCTTAATTCTTGGGGTATACGGGCCCGAGAAGATCTCCCATGAAGATCTGTTGGAACCCTGAAACGAATCACCGATCGAACTTCAGATCAAGCGCCCGCAAGTGAAACTGGATTGGCCAGACTCTAGCGACCTCAGGCATATCGCTAAACAGGCTCTGGATTGGAACCCGCAGGGAAAACGTAAACGTGGCCAGCCAAAGCGAACTTGGCAGCGCACTGTTACAGATGAGGTGAAGAGAATCGGCAAGACGTAGAGTGAGGTCAAGTGCGAAGCTCAAGACCGAACGCAATGGAGGACTACTGTGGACGCCTTCTGCCCCATCTCGAGGACTTCGGATATTAAGTCAGGTAAGTCAAGCGTTATTAGCAAAATTGTTGTTACTGACTAGCAAGTAACCTAGTAAGGTAGTTGTTACTAATTATAAATCATCATGTGACGAGCCTTTTCCCAAACTAGCTTGGGGTCGTTTTTTCAGTCTACTACGACAGTGGAGCGACTACCAACGAGCCTACAAAACCCAAGTACTAGGCGATATCAAAGTTCTGTAGAAAAAACTGTTGTCGGACTTTTTAGGGCTCCAACTACCCGTAATGATTGCCAGATTTTGGCATGGCAACTGGAACCAACGGCTTAAAGCACGGAAAGGTGTCAATGGTTCTTTTATGGAATGGCGGGCAAACGAGTAGACGGGTCACCTGATGGAAAGCGACTACCCGCCGCCCATGAACGCTTGCAACTCATGGAGTCACAAGCGAGTATGGTGGCCTTTGAGGAAGGAGTACGCTTCTTGTATGTGTTAATAATGGTACTTATGTTTAAGAAACATGTTCACCGAGACGCAAAGATTTGTTGATGTATAACTTTTACCTTAATACATGCATAATTCGTACGCACTTATTAAAACTTGTGTCCTTATTCATTATGGAGTAAGTGAGCAAAACTTGGCTATGCATATAAAAACAGGCACGCTAAGCAAATATGGGTAGCATATAATTATATAACTGCACTGCACGCTTCCAGTTCGAATAGCAAATGGTTCATATAATGTAATATGATACATGAAGTATGAAGAAAATTCAGAATAATTATTCGTCGCCCGCGTCGCGTGTACAGTAAATTTTCAGGAATCGTTGTAATTTTATATGAGAACACAATTTTGCATTATCAAATGCATTGCATTCGCTAATTAGTTTTGCGAGGTATATGAACATAAAAAATGATATGTATGTTGAATATTAGTATGATAGTTCGAAAGTAAAATTCAAAAACTCGGGGTTCCATTATCATAGTCAAATCAAAAATCCTTTTATCAAACAAAATTCGGAACAAATATCAATGGAGCTTAACACAGCTGCCCCCTGTCCAGGAATAAAAGCCACAAGACTCGACGCAGAGTAAAGTGCTAAGATTACTTCAAGAATGGGCTAATCATTATCATTTACTCCGCAGTTGGACTTCACTGCATTATGTTTCACCAACATCAACATTTCTTCGTCATATTTTTTTGAAGTCCTATCCTAGCCTCACCGAGGATTTTTCATCATAGCAATTTACGTTTAATTTGCAAAGCCTTAGGTTTTGATACTTAAACTGTTTGCGCAGTTCGCTTAGACCAATTCAAATTTAGACAGAAATAATTTTATATTCAATGCTTCTGGTGACGCATAGCTCAGGATTAGCATTATAATTATTAGCTGCTATGGTAGTTAGAACGTGATTAGACTATGAAAATATTTATCAAAAACAAATCAGAAGTGTTTAATGCTATATAAACATAAATATGTAGTTAGACTTATACAACTATTTATACATTATATATACATATATATACATTAATGATTTGAATTAATTTCAGTAAGATAAATTTTTATTCCGCCAGCTTTACATTTTACACTAAGAAGGAAGGAATTTAGCAGATGGGTATCGCTCAGCTACTGGGAGGAAACAATTATAATACGCATGCAAAGTACGGCTATTGTGAAATACAAAAATCAACACATTGCAATGCAAAACAACAATAATATTTAGCAGAAGACTTTAACAAACGCTAGCACATGTTAAGATTGGAACGTTAAAGGTGTTACATATAGTATCTACAGTTTTTAATACTGAAATAAAAACTAAATTACTATCCTAAGCTATATAGAATCCTCAGCATGTAGTAAAAAAGCCACATTTTCTTTTTTTTTAAAGAGAACTCCCGCATTAGGAAATACTCGTATATCGTAGACTCGTGTGACTCGTAGACTAGTGTGTCGAGAAGGACTTTATAAACGTACATGAAACGGACACAAAGAACACCCAAACTCAGAACAACAATTTGTAGATCATTTATTGTCCCATGTGGGATCGAACCCACAACACTCAGCGTAGTAGTGAGCGGCGGGGCGACCGCTTAAATCACTACGCCATTCGTGCGTTTTAATTAACAGAACTGCTACACCTATTAACACATCGGTAATCATTACTGAACATTAATCACACAGCGCTAGAAGGTAAAGTTGATAAGAAACGACTCAATTTGATAAGGACAAGTTCAACCTGAGTTTCAAAATTTGAAGGAAGCCATTTATTTACTAGATTTGGCCGCAATGGTCACATTTTCTTACGACTAATAGATTATATTAGAAAAAACTACGCATAACAGCACTGCAAAGAGAAAGAAAACTTGAAACAAACCCTATACCGAAACGTCTAGCCAGCGTGGTACAGTAGGCCAAAATCTAAGGAGAGGCCTATGTCCAGCCAGTAGACCACTAAAGTCTGATGATTTGGTGATGATGATGAAGACATCTCAGATATTTATTAAAATAGATGTGCTCTACTGAGCAGCATCTTCGCCTTACAGAAGACAACATTTGGCCTACAATTCCAGTTTAATATCTTATTTGTAATACAGCATGTATTATTATTTTTGACGGGCCTGTTGATCGATTGCTAAGCCCCGAGGTCGTGAGTTCGATTCCCACAAGGACAAATATTGTGTTGATAAGCATGGTCGTTTCTTCTGTGTCTGGTGTAATTTATCTATAATATGTATATATTTAAAAATATATAAGTATGTTTATCAGCAGTCCGGTTACCATAGCACAGGCTCTGCTTAGTTTGGGATCAGACGGCCGTGTGTGAGATGTGTGATGTATATTATATTATTATTATTATTAAAGAGCTCTATGTGTAGTCAAGGGGACAAGAGAGGGTAGAGAGTAAAATTTCCCCATTGAAGTTGTAACCTATAGACAATTCTATGTACTTGGTTGCCAAGATGGTTGCACAATAGTTTACTAACAATGAGACATAATTGTTTCTTTATAGTGCAGGAATCAAGCGGAAGTCGGCCAGTCCAATGTTAGTAACATATTAACTAATTTACTTCAAATAACTACCACTACAGAAAAGTAAAAACATATAAGATGTTCTACATTTACTAAGTCTATGGCAAACCATCTGTTAAATATGTACGAGCCTTTCCGTTGTAATTACCTGAAGAGATTACTAAAAAACTTCCATATGCTTTGTTTATTCTTCTTATCCATTGTGGTATCGACTCGGCTGGCACGCACCATCTCTGTCCAGCGGACAGGCATCTTGGAGCTCCATGACAGCGCTCCTGAAGTGAGAGAAGTGGAAATAGATAACATGTAAAATATTTACGAATATCTTTTTCAATAGTGCAGAGTATTTCAATATTCAGTAAATATAGATGACACGTTAATGCGCTACTCATGTTCCTTTCAAGAATATATAAGGAATGAAAGTTTTAAAGACTTAGGCTCACCTTGTACTGATTCCGTTCCATTAGTACCCTGGCCATCTCGACCCGAGTAAATCTTCGTCGCTGAGCCATGGGGACATCTGCCTCATCTTCATTTTCGCCACCACCCGCGTTAGTGCTCACCGTCTCCTGCCACATAGTAATGAACTAAGTGCTTTAAGTTCTTACAGCCTAGCCAGACGACAAATGGGCTCCATATAGATATAGATTCAAGGGCCCCCTACAAGGTCAAGGGGCACAAGGTAAGGTTATTTTATATATATATATATCTATATATACAGAGGTTTATAGGTATTTAAACTACCTTACCTTGGGCCAAGGAGGGTCTTGTAACCGTTGCCGCAAGGGCCGGATTATGGAAGTTTGAGTGTCCTCCCTCAAGTTTATGTGTATGTTATTAGTTTTTGTGCCATAAACTCTGCAGAGACGTAGTGTAAAGATAGGACACATAAACTAAGAACAAATGTTGCGACAGAGGCAAATTTGAATAATGTAAAGTTAAGGAATGTGGCTTAACGTAGTCAATAGATATTTATTTTTGTGGCTGCTTCTGCACTTTGACTCACCTTCAAATGCCGGACTTCCTCCTCCAACTCGGTCACTCTATCTCTTAGTTTCTCCCTAGCTGAACTAAGGTTGCTGACCTCTTCTCTCAAGATTTCCAATTCTCCAGTAAGCTCATCAACCTTCACTATAAGGTCGTCTTTCACAACATTTAACGCATTCTTCGTAGCTAACAGCTCGTTGTTTTCGAGGATAAGATTTTCCACTTCCTTACCCATGCCTGTAAAGTAGATAAGAAAGTATGAAGAGCACAAATGCACAAATTTATATAATCATGTATTTCGTGATATATTCGGCAACGTTTCGTGATAAATTAAAGGAATATAAAAATATTTAAAATCTACAAGATTTTAATCAATAGCAAATATTTGATAGATATAGATAGATATTTCTGAACTAGTATTTATTTTCTTAATTTGAATTTTACGTGTGAGTTATGGGATACTTACTTGGATTTTTTGCTTGTAAAATGTAAGCGACCGTTAGGCAGGTCACACACTTCGCCGCATGCGATAGCAATAACAATTGGTAACGCGGTAAACAACAAAGCGATCGACATAGACATATATTATAATTAATTGTCAAATTGCGAAAATGCGACGCAGTGTGTGAGAGAATTACGGTTTTAAAATATACAAAACGGTTTTTTATAAAGTATTGTTAAAAATGAATGAGACTTGTGGAATTAATAAACGGAATGGTTATTTCTGTCGTGGTATATTAGTAAAATTATGATCAATTTACATGTTACTTACCGAAATAATTGTCGTTAACTGCAATCATGCGTTGATGCGAATTGTTAGAACGCATGGAAATAGAACGTACAGTATTAGTGTATTAAAATTATGATTTATTTCATAAATATTAATAATATACGCTCACACACGACGCCACAATATGCATTATTTAATAATAATGTGACAAAACAGTTTACTAACCTGCTTAATATTAAGATTGTAAAAAAAAAACATCTAACAGAGCAACTGAAAGAAAAACATGTGTACCTCATTTTGCTTTGACATGACTTTGACATTATACTAACATAATGAAATGTATAATGACAAAGTTCTATTATACTTAGGTAATTTAACAGGCATGGCAATTCAGGCAATTCTTCAAGTATGTAAGCACCAAAAGGTCTTGCTTTGTTTATTTTTGATGACATACAGGACGACGGTTACTTATTCATTTACTTCACGTTTTCTTTAGAAAAATTCAAAGAAAGAGTAAGAGAATGTTTCAGCCCATATGAGAGTGATACCACAACCTCACAGAAAACTGGTGTTAAGCAAATGTTTCATTGTTTTTTCACTGAGTGAGTGAGGTCACCAGACATGGCAATTATTGCTACTTTTAATCAAAATTATATCACGGTTT